CTCGTCGTCCGGTTCCGGTTGGGTTTGGGTGACGGTATGTGTTGTGGCATCACTTGTTCCTCCAGTGTTGGCATTTGAGGCGAGTCTTGTCCTTCATTTTCTACAATTTCTTCGACGAAATCAAACTCGAGTTCAGGCATTGGTATGTTTGGCGACTCCGCCGGAGCTCCAGGAGTCTGTCGCCGACTCCCGGGCGGCGTTAGGAGACTCGAGTGTCGTCTCTTTGGCGGTCCGCCCCCTCCCCCCTCGTCGGCTCGAGTTCAGGCATTGGTATGTTTGGCGACTCCGCCGGAGCTCCAGGAGTTTGTTGCCGACTCCCGGGCGGCGTTAGGAAACTCGAGTGTCGTCTCTTTGGCGGTCCGCCCCCTCCCCCCTCGTCGGCGCCTCTTTTTCTATACATGTGTCCGTATTGTGTGATGTCTTCGTGTATTCAACTACTCATACGACTACTATTAAATACAATTATCGATGAGTTTTAAATTTGTTTTAAAATTGATTATAAATTTATACAATTAAAACTTAAAATAAAATTTTAAAACTTCTAAAATATAAAAATTCTGTGATTAACACAACATTTAAAAACTTAACTAAAATATTATCAAATTCTGCTTTTATAAATCACTGCCTAAATAAATACTATAAATAACAATCATATTCTTATAAAATATTCTAAAATTTAAATTTAAAAATGTGCTTGCAAATTAATTGTCAAATTATACTTATTTGTAATTGTACCTGACTACTTTGCTCTAGCAATAGAATAAAATTAGAAGTAAATTTTGGAAATTAAACTAAATAAAGTAACATAATTAAATATGTCCCCTAATTTATATTGTGCAGAAGTATCATGCTAGATTACGAGTAAGAGTAACACTTTTAGTTACTTTCAATTAGACTTAGTTTTAATAGATTAGCCGCTATTGCAAAGCAAACCATTCGTGGTTTAAGAACTGGTCGATTGTCATACGAAAGGCGGGTCGCGGGTCCAGGAGTTGGGTTAACAACTCTTGCAATATCGGGCCGAAGGGTAACAGTTGTTGGCCAACAAATTGTTGGTTAATTTTGCGAGCAATACTGTCATGAATCGACTGATTAGTGGGCACGAGCTCCGGATGAAAGCAATACTGACCGGACAACATGGCCAGAAGGCAGGCGCCCAGCGAATACAAATCAGCCTCTCGGACCGCATACGGCCAACTGGACGGCAGGTAGTTCTGGGGTGAAGCTGTTTGCTCGCTGCAAAGGGGGCGCTCCACAAAAACGTTATCTCCCACAGGGAATAACACTGAGTGGGAAAAGTCGGTCAACTTTGGCCGCCAGCATAGGCTCCTATCATCGCTCGGCGGTCCCCAGAATACGAGTATATTTTGTAATTTGAGATCGCAGTGAGCCATACCTATCACGTCGAACATGTACTTCAAACCTAGCCCTACCTGACGTATAACGTGCCTACAGTATACCGGTGCCAACCCTCTCCACTCCAGTTGCTCGGCCTGATTGACCACGTGCAGTTGACTGTGCAAATCACCCAGCACACTGTACTCCGATACGATGTAAGTGCTGTCGGCGGTCACGTAATGGCCAAAGAATCGGCAAATATTATTGTGCGGCGGATAAGTATGAATGCGATCGATAGCGTTCAGCTCTCGCGGGTCTAATACCCCGCAAACTATCTTAATGGCCACCAGTGGCTGCCGGCGTCGGTCCGGTTCGTGCGAATACATACCCGTACAGACAACCCCATAAGCACCATGGCCAATTTGGCGTATGATCAACAACGACGGTGTGTTGAAGTATAGCACTCGCCGGTCGTTTTTGGTGACACCCGCTATCTGTTAAGCGATATTCTGGTAATACTGTTGAATCGCTTGCGGTTACGGCTTGTCGGGTATGGGTTGCGCCGAAAATTCCGGTCCCAACAGTGACGGCGGTTGCGGAACCACTAATTACCACATTTGCGGCTGTGGTTGTGGCTGTGGCTCTGCTCAAGCCTCTAACCACGCCTGTGCTAATAAATCTATCGCTTCGTCAACTTCTTGGTTGTCACCTATAATTTCAATTTGTATTTCTTCAATATCGGGATCAAATGCAACCGCGGCTTCATTTTGTAACTCTTCTAATGGTTCTGCTATTAGCGCATAAATGGGATCAACTTCTTGGTAGTCAAACAGATCCGGTATTTCATCTGCCAATAAATTTGGTCCATCATTGCCCTTGTTTTTCCTCAAATATTACATCTTCCGGATTTAATACATGAGTCAAAATAAGATCGACTACAACTTGTTGGTCAAATATATCGGGCGAATTACTGACCAAACGTTAACCATTGTCTACACCTACCGGTTCCACACTCAACGCTTCGGGTAGTGGTTGTCCGGAGCCAAACATGTGGGCCATGTCTTGCGATTGGTGTCTGTGAAGATCTCCCGCTCGCCATAATTCCGGTAATTTGTGTCCGCTTTGACCCCCCGGTGAACCGTTACTTTCGCCCGGACTCCCGGCGCCGGACATGTGTTTGTATGGTTTGGTCTCAACACTAAACACACGCTGTATTAATCAATCCCTAATCTATTTATGCATATTTTGGTGTTTTATAAAGTTTTTATAAATTTAATTTGAATAAGTTGTATCCAATATAAACATGTACACTGTAACTGTTCTAGGTCATTGTAAAAAGTGTAAAATTGCATGTATTTTAACCGAATATTTAGTTATTAACAAAACATCAAAATTGTGAATAATTAGCATAAGTTGTATTCATTTTGTGCGTATACTCTGTAAATGTTCTAGATCATTGTAAAAAGTCAAAAATTGCTGCGATTTTGTAAAAATATTTGTTATTAATAAAACATCAGCATGGTGAATAACTAAATATTCGGTTAAAATACATGCAATTTTACACTTTTTACAATGACCTAGAACAGTTACAGTGTACATGTTTATATTGGATACAACTTATTCAAATTAAATTTATAAAATATTTGTTATTAATAAAACATCAGCATGGTGAATAATTAGCATAAAGTGTATTCATTTTGTGCGTATACTTTGTAAATGTTCTAGATCATTGTAAAAAGTTAAAAATTGCTGCGATTTTGTAAAAATATTTGTTATTAATAAAACATCAGCATGGTGAATAATTAGCCTAAAGTGTATTCATTTTGACAATATACTTTGTAAATGTTCTAGATTATTGTAAAACATCAAAAATTGCATGTATTATGTAAAATTATTTGGTTATTAATAAAACATCAGCATGGTGAATAATTAGTCTAAAGTGTATTCATTTTGTGCGTATACTCTGTAAATGTTCTAGATCATTGTAAAAAGTTAAAAAATTGCTGCGATTTTGTAAAAATATTTGTTATTAATAAAACATCAGCATGGTGAATAATTAGCATAAGTTGTATTCATTTTGTGCGTATACTTTGTCAATGTTCTAGATCATTGTAAAAAGTTAAAAATTGCTGCGATTTTGTAAAAATATTTGTTATTAACAAAACATCAACATGGTGAATAATTATTATAAAAAGTATGCATTTTGACAATATACTTTGTAAATGTTCTAGATTATTGTAAAAAGTTAAAAATTGCTGCGATTTTGTAAAAATATTTGTTATTAATAAAACATCAGCATGGTGAATAATTAGCATAAAGTGTATTCATTTTGTGCGTATACTTTGTAAATGTTCTAGATCATTGTAAAAAGTTAAAAATTGCTGCGATTTTGTAGAAATATTTGTTATTAACAAAACATCAACATGGTGAATAATTATTATAAAAAGTATGCATTTTGACAATATACTTTTAACGCCTCTTCGGCCGAACTCGGGGAGGGGAGAGGGGAGGGGGGTAGAACGATCCTATAATCCACATTATTCATACTGAATTGTGGTTAAAAATTAACATAGTTTATAAATTAAAATTAAGCTATTTAATTGTATTATTTTCACTAATTATAAATGGTCGAACCTTTTAAAACTAATTCACCATTTATTATTATATATTTTACAATCAAGTTAATTGTTTCTAAATTTATACATTTTATTAAATTGGTATGCAGTAAAACCCGATTATAAGAAAGTTATATTTCATACAAGTTGCTGGTTCAATCATTGATTTTCGGCAAAAATTGCATTAATATTTGTCATTCAAAACAATTGATTTTGGTTTTGATTTTCTGATTTTAATCGATTATTATTTTTATAAAAACGTATTTTACAAAATGAAAAATCTGTGTACGTAAAATACACTGTAAAATACAACGTAAATTACGTACGTAAAATACGTGGTTTGTCATATTGCCAACCCTAGCTACAACTCTATGCCATTCACTCAAGTAATAAAATTTTCTATCATTGCATATAATTTGATATCAAGTGGTTTAGCTTTGGCTTTGCTTACTGGGAGGTCTTTTAAGTATTTTTTAAAAAACACATTTAAAATATTGTATTTCAATAAAACATTAATTGATTTCAAGTCATTTTATTTATTTTGAACAACTTTTTGATTGAAACATAATTACATTTAATATGTGATATAACATAACAATTACACTGGAAAACAATCTAATAGTTATGTATATATTTGTAATAATTCCCAGATATTTATTGTTCAGATGATGTCCTATATGTTCGCAATCGCCGCTCGCGTATTGGCTATAACTCTATTCGCCACACAATTTACATATCATTTAAGCGTTGTTTTGGTCATTAATGTGTTAATTATGTTTGCGATCGATCAAGAATGTCCCGGATGGTTTAATACTATCATTTGGAGCAATTTAAACACTTATTTTTATATATTTGTGGTCATTTTATTCTGTCACTCGCGGCGACCCATCGGCCCAACCAAATACCATTACATCTGTTACAATGTGGTAATATTTGTGGAAAATATCATTTTATTCACTTTCTGGTATAACTATTGCGATAACAGCGTGTGGTATAAACCGATCGCATTGTACGTAAACTTTGGCGTATATTTGGTTGCCTTGTGTTTTATGGTAAGTGTTGTGATTGAATGCTATTACTATTGGCGTATGACTTATAATTTAATTGACTTATAATTTAATTTACATTATAGCCATTACATTACAACATCATTTAACATAAACAATTACAACAACATGAATGGCTATTACACCATATTATTAAATTAAATATTGGATAATTAAATATTAAATTCTAAGTTAAAATAATACTATATTTTAAAATACATAAAATTCATTAATTAATATTTTTAACTAATCTTTTAATTATGTTAATAATGTCTTTAATAATATTATTGTAAAACATATTATGTTTTATTCTAGTTTTAAATCATATAATGCTTTAACGAGTGGTCCGTAATATTCAATGCCTTCTGTTATTACTTCAATCGGTTCTGATCTCCGGATTTCACTCATTATTTCTAAGTCTTTCAATGAAGTCATAAATGTTTGTAATTTTGTTTGTGATTCCGATTCCGACCGATATTTCAATAGTAAATATCTTTGCAGTAAATATATATACAGTTGTTGTTCGAGTCTATCAAATATTAAAATACAAATAATATAAACAACTCTAAACAATATTAACAAAAACAAACCTAATTATATCCCTATGGATCAGATTCGGTAGGTTTGGGTTGAATAGAATTATTGCCGATAACTGCAAATATAATAAAAGATTTAAACTTAGCTTGATTAATATAATACTGATAATTTACATAATTCATTTTCAAAATCATACCAAATTCAATACAATGAGATCCCATTGCCATTCGGGTAGTATTTTATTTAAAAATCTTTTAAATATATTCTCGACTATAACATCGGATTCTTTAACTTTAGTGACAAAAGGCTTGAATGTTTCAAAATTAGCGACAATTGTATTTTCATTGTCCTATTCAAGCATAAAATGTAATATGTTTTATTTACACAAAATATTTAATAATTAGTTTAAGTTATTAATTTAATAAGTTATAAATTAATAATTACCACTTCCAGCATGAAAGTTTTTGTACTTTCGTTATAACGAGCTAAACTTCTAATTGTGTTTATATTATTACATCCGTATTTAAACAACCAATATTGATCTTCCGGGCACATATCCCGCAAACTAGTGATACAATTAGTGAAGTCTAAAGCTTTTTGTATAGTATTTTCAGCCATTTTTAATACCATACGAAGACATTCCTGTCTATCCTTTATTTGATACACATTTTTACCCAAAGGTCTCGTGAAAACAGTGGACGCAGTGATCAATTCAGAGATCCGTTGAAACTCCAGTTGTTTTAAGCCGTTATAATCGGTGAGCGGTTTAGATATCGGGACTAATGCTGTGTCTGTTGTGTTGATATCCATCACTTGTAGTGCAAAGACATCATCACTGCTATCGGTATTACAGTCACTATCAATGATATCATCGATCAGTTCCCATAAATCGTCTTGACTTTCATCGGAAACTGAAGTCAAACTACTGCTCGTTGAAAAGGTTTTACTCACTTTTCTGTGCATAATCTCCTAAATATAAACATTAAATAATTATTTAATATGGATATTAATTATTAGTAACCCTAATAACAATAATTGAATTTACCTTATGCATTCCAACAGCAAAACATTTATCAAGTCTACATTTTTGGCAGTTATTTCTCGTCTCTTCATTTACGATACAATTATCGTTTGAAAGACATATCAACTTCTGTTAAAACACATAAATAATTAATTTAAAAGTTTTATAACAATTTTAAAAATTTCAAATACCTGATCACTGAATGCTTTACGTCTAAAAAATGCCTTACAAGACATGCAACAAATGACACCAAAATTACGGCCTTAAATACAATTAAAAATTTATTATATTAACCATTAAGTTAAATGTAAACATCATTTCTCACTCAAAGCATTATCGCCGCAAACTTTACAAATTCTGGTCTTAATATTGGGTTTCATTTCAGTATTTATTAAAATATTTAAAAATATATTTATAAACAGATTTAATAATTTATTTTGTTATAATTTTGGCAATTTAAGCAAAATATTTACAAACAAACAAATTTTAACTTATACTAAAATACATGTAACGTTTGACCATGTAAGAAATTCTACCTAATTCTGTCGCGCTAGTACCAGAATTGAATATGTGGGTAGTTATTCTACACTACTTATATTTATATTTTATTTAATCAATTTAAATATAGCTAGTTAAGATAGCGTACACGTCTACAAACAACTTACACCGTGATAAGTATTTTTCCTAACCCTAAACATGTTAAGATAATTTACACACTTATTGCACCATTTGTTTGTCAATTGTATTTAATAAATAAAAATAGATATTTAAATCTATTATTGATATCGTTCAAAGTTTTTGGAGTACCTATCAACTAACCTTAAAAGAACATGATAAACATAAGGCTTAACTTATATAAAATTTAATTTCACGTAACATTTGAAACTTGCTTAATCTATTTATTTAGATAATCGCGTACTATGACTCACCCAACCCATATTGCACTAGGTAAATTAAATATTTTACTATCGGTATTTTATAGTAAATAGTAAATAGATAATTTGTTTTGACAACATATTAGCACATGATTGCATGAATACAGTGCTTTGAATTGCGATCATAAGCTCTCAACTAGATTGTTTGCCGGCGTAAATAACTTATCTATATTTTATCAATCATTCAAAGACTTGTGAATTATATAATTTGTTTATACTAAAAGGTAATTTATAAATATAGAAATATAATTATACACTCCAATAAAAGTATAGTGCATTCTAATTTATTAGTTAATTATTATAAATCTGCATTAATGATTGTAACATACTCAAAATAAAACAGTTTTATAACAAATTTTACAATGACATAACAAAACAGCATACATTTATCATGATTAATATAGAAATCAGACAAATTGAGATGACCTATGAACTTGACATTGTATATACTAGTGTCGGTAAAGTGAATCATGTTTCACGTGATTCACGCTC